GTGGCCAATAAAATTTGATTTGATTTGATTTGATTTGAAGCTTATAGGTCTGCTGTTAGAACCAGTAAAGGCCGCTTTACCATTCTTGGGTAGTGGAATTACTCCAGGCCTGAGGACAAAGACTTTCCTCTAGGCTCAGATTAAAGATATGACAGATAGGAGTGGCTATAGAGTCATCTACCATCCTCAGTAGCTTTCCATCTAAGTTGTCAATGCCAGGAGGTTTGTCATTTTGATCGATAGCAATATGTTTTCCACCTCTCCCACAGTAACTTTACAAAATTCAAACTTGCAATGCTTTGCTTTCAATATTTGTTTTTTTATGCATGAATACGATGGCTCACTGTTCATTGTTGGTATTTCCTGCCTAAGTTTGCCCACTTTGCCAATGAAGTAATCACTAAAATAATTGGCAACATCAAATGGTTTTGTGATGAATAAGCCATCTGATTCAATGAAAGATGGAGTTGAATTTGTCTTTCTGCTCATAATTTCATTTAAAGTACTCCAAAGTATTTTTTCCATCATTCTTTATATCATTGATCTTGGCTTCATAATACAGTTTCTTCTGTTTGTTGAGTTTAGTCAGATAATTTCTCAATTTGCAGTAAGTCAGCCAGTCAGATATGCAGCCAGACTTATTAGCCACTCCTTTTGCCCCATCTCTTTCAAGCATACAGTTTTCAATTCCTCATCAATCCATGGAGCCTTAACAGTTCTATCAGTCAGTTTCCTAACAGGTGAATGTTTATCAATAATTGGAAGAAGCAATTTCATAAATTCATCAAGTGCAGTGTCTGGATGCTCCTTATTAATCACATCAGACCAACAAATATTTTTTACATCATCCACATATGAGTCACAGCAAAACCTTTTGTATGATCTCATACACTATTTTAGGCCCAGCTGTTAGAACTTTGGCTTTCCTGGATATAGCCACTATATTGTGATCACTGCATCCAATGGGTACGGATACAGCTTTAGAACAAAGTTCTACAGTATTAGTAAATATGTGGTCGATACATGTGGATGATCTTGTTCCTGTAGTGTTTGTAAACACCCTGGTAGGTTGATTAATAACCTGAACCAGATTACAGGCACTGGTTACAGTAAGAAGCTTCCTCTTGAGCGGACAGCTTGATAAAAACCAGTCAATATTCAGGTCCCCAAGAAAGTAGACCTCTCTGTTTACATCACACACACTATCAAGCATTTCACACATATTATTTAGATACTGACTGTTCACACTTGGTGGCCTATAGCAACACCCCAAAAGAAAAGGCTTTAGAAGTGGCAAGTGAACCTGCAACCACAACACTTCAATAACACTTGACATAAGATCTTCTCTAAGCATTACAGGGATATGTCTCTGAATATATACAGCAACACCTCCCCATAAGCATTTCTGTCTCTTCTATAGATGTTATATTATTGTATTGCTACTGATGTACAGTGGGGGAAAAAAGTATTTAGTCAGCCACCAATTGTGCAAGTTCTCCCACTTAAAAAGATGAGAGAGGCCTGTAATTTTCATCATAGGTACACGTCAACTATGACAGACAAAATGAGAAAACAAAACCAGAAAATCACATTGTAGGATTTTTAATGAATATATTTGCAAATTATGGTGGAAAATAAGTATTTGGTCAATAACAAAAGTGTCTCAATACTTTGTTATATACCCTTTGTTGGCAATGACACAGGTCAAACGTTTTCTGTAAGTCTTCACAAGGTTTTCACACACTGTTGCTGGTATTTTGGCCCATTCCTCTATGCAGATCTCCTCTAGCGCAGTGATGTTTTGGGGCTGTCGCTGGGCAACACGGACTTTCAACTCCCTCCAAAGATTTTCTATGTGGTTGAGATCTGGAGACTGGCTAGGCCACTCCAGGACCTTGAAATGCTTCTTACGAAGCCACTCCTTTGTTGCCCGGGCGGTGTGTTTGGGATCATTGTCATGCTGAAAGACCCAGCCACGTTTAATCTTCAATGCCCTTGCTGATGGAAGGAGGTTTTCACTCAAAATCTCACGATACATGGCCCCATTCATTCTTTCCTTTACACGGATCAGTCGTCCTGGTCCCTTTGCAGAAAAACAGCCCCAAAGCATGATGTTTCCACCCCCATGCTTCACAGTAGGTATGGTGTTCTTTGGATGCAACTCAGCATTCTTTGTCCTCCAAACACGACGAGTTGAGTTTTTACCAAAAAGTTCTATTTTGGTTTCATCTGACCATATGACATTCTCCCAATCCTCTTCTGGATCATCCAAATGCACTCTAGCAAACTTCAGACGGGCCTGGACATGTACTGGCTTAAGCAGGGGGACACGTCTGGCACTGCAGGATTTGAGTCCCTGGCGGCGTAGTGTGTTACTGATGGTAGGCTTTGTTACTTTGGTCCCAGCTCTCTGCAGGTCATTCACTAGGTCCCCCCGTGTGGACGATCGTGACAGAAGATCCCACCAAAATAGGACCAAGCAGCGTGTGCACCAACCTATACAGAACAAGATCCCACAATTAACTAGAACCAACAGGCTGCCTAAGTATGGTACCCAATCAGAGACAACAAGAATCAGCTGCCTCTGATTGGGAACCACCCTGGCCAACATAGAAAACACGAACTAGAACAAAAACATAGAAACTACAACCTAGACACTACACACCCTGGCTCAACTTTTAAGAGTCCCCAGAGCCAGGGCGTGACATACAGGTCTGTGAGAGCCAGAAATCTTGCTTGTTTGTAGGTGACCAAATACTTATTTTCCACCATAATTTGCAAATAAATTCATTAAAAATCCTACAATGTGATTTTCTGGATTTTTTTTCTCAATTTGTCTGTCATAGTTGACGTGTACCTATGATGAAAATTACAGGCCTCTCTCATCTTTTTAAGTGGGAGAACTTGCACAATTGGTGGCTGACTAAATACTTTTTTCCCCACTGTATCATCAAATGAATTATATCTAAATTATATCTATCTATATATATATATATACACTACATGACCTAAGTATGTGGACACCTGCTCGTCAAACATCTCATTCCAAAATCATGGGCATTAATATGGAGTTGTTATAACAGCCTCCACTCTTCTGGGAAGGCTTTCCACTAGATGTTGGAACATCGCTGTGGGGACTTGCTTCCATTCAGCCACAAGAGCATTAGTGAGGTCGGGAAATGGTGTTGGGTGATTAGGCCTGGCTCACAGTCGGTGTTCCAATTCATTCCAAAGGTGTTCGATGGGGTTGAGGTCAGGGCTCTGTGCAGGCTGTCAAGTTCTTCCACACCGATCTCAACAAACCATTTCTGTTTGGACCTCACTTGGTGCACAGGGGCAAACAGGAAAATGCCTACCCCAAACTGTTGCCACAAAGTTGGAAGCACAGAATAGTTTAGAATGTCATTGTTTGCTGTAGCGTTCAGATTTCCCTTCACTGAAACTACAGGGCCTAGCCCGAACCATGAAAAACAGCCCCAGACCATTATTCCTCCTCCACCAAACTTTACAGTTGGCACTAAGTATTCGGGCAGGTAGCGTTCTCCTGGCATCCGCCAAACCCAGATTCATTTGTCGGTCTGCCAGATGGTGAATCGTGATTCATCACTCCAGAGAACGCGATTCCACTGCTCCAGAGTCCAATGGCGGCGAGCTTTACACCCCTCCAGCCGATGCTTGGCATTGTGCATGGTGATCTTAGGCTTGTGTGCGGCTGCTCAGCCATGGAAACCCATTTCATGAAGCTCACGACGAACAGTTATTGTGCTGACGTTGCTTCCAGAGGCAGTTTAGAACTCGGTAGTGAGTGTTGCAACCGAGGACAGACTATTTTTACACGCTACGCGCTTCAGCACTCGGTGGTCCCGTTCTGTGAGCTTGTGTGGCCTACCACTTCTCGGCTGAGCCGTCGTTGCTCCTAGACGCTTCCACTTCACAATAACAGCACTTATATATATTGCCTCTTAATATTGTACAATCTGTGTGACGCTTCATTGGCCTTGTCTATTGTTTTTTTGAATTCAAGACCAGATTGATCTCAGTTTGTCAGACTAGCCACTCATTTCGGTCATTTGTGTGGTATTAAAAAAGATTCAGCTAATGTCTTGAAGTAGAATTGCATGAAATGCATTTTTAAAAGGCCAATTTTTTCTGGACCCTGCTAACAATTGTTCCCCATGTGTGGAAATCCTAAAAACACCTCTGCTCAACTATAGCCTCTGCCACATTGCAAATGTTATTATGGCTTTATTATAAAGGGGCTTTTTCTTCAACAGTAAATTTACCACGCATCGAATTGCATCTTGGTGCACGGATTTGTCTACAGAAAATCATGGTGTGCCGGGAAGTGGGGGTGGGTAGGGCCTATAAATAAAAACAAAGCCCTGGGGCCTATGATTTCTTAATCCGGCCCTGGATGCAACAGTAGGTGTTGTGAGTGGCAGTGATACAAATGTCCTCCTTGCTCTATCCCTGACACAAATAATGAGGGCAAAAATTACAGCATAGTGGCCACTGAAAATTATAAATGACTTGAACTTTTTGTACACGCCTTACATTTTCATATGCCTGTTTAACAAATCGATCCCAAAATGGCTTCAGCTTGGTTGAGTAGGGTAAGTAGGTTTCTTGATGAGCAGGATAAGAGTGTGAAAGTCTAGCGGAGCTCCAGTGATTAATGGTTGGATTGGGAGGCCCAGTGCCTCGTGGGAGAAGCGTAATCACAGCGGCTCACGAGGGACCAGCGAGTAGCGCCTGGCAATCAGGCCACAACAGAGGTCTCATTCATCACATGTGTATTATGCCCTTTTCAGGTACAACCCCCTGAGAAATCCTACACCAACACGGCCATGACAGCCTCAGAGTGCCTAGAAACCCCCACAACTTGTAACTGGTAGAGGGAGGGGAGTAGCCCAGACTCTAGACGGAGCAGGGTAGTTATCGACTCTAAAATAAAAATAACATTTTAACTTGGTCTGAGTTCCAGTAGAAACTATTCCAGTTTATGTGTAGTGCATGCTTTCTCCTTTCTTCTGCCAATGACTCTGGCATGCTGCCCTGAAGACTCTGGCATGCTGCCCTGAAGGGGGTTGATAACAGGCATTATTCAGGGACCTTGTCAACTGAGTCTCTTCCTGTCCTTAAGGATGTCACCATGCTGGAACCTCTTTCCCTTCACCCAGTGACCATGACCTCTGACCCTTAACAACAGGGCCAGATTACTGAAGGGGCAAGCAGGGCACGTGCCCCGGGGCCCCGACCTCCAGGGTTCCCGAAGCCTTTTTCTGTGGGGGGGGGGGGGGGTTTGGCACCCTGGTGGTCGAGGATATGAACACGTCATAAGAAATGGCAAAATGTATAGAATGACAGGAAATAAGCTTTAAAACTGCACAATTTTCTCTCATCTTCATTGCAAAATGTGAAGAATATCATGTGATGAGCTATAAAACAGCACATTTTTCTCTCGGCCCCATGGCAAAATGTGTAGAATTGCAGGAAATGAGCTTTAAAACTGCAACAAAAGAATTGGGTTGGGGGGCCCCAAATGCGGTAGTCAGGCCCTGCTTAACAATGTCAGTTTCACCCAGGGGCTAGACAGTAGCCAGACCAGTCATCTCTATGTCGCTGCTCCAAACGGGGCAGAGATACTCAGGGTGTGTTGGACAAGCATGGATGTGAATTAACTCAGACTCTCTCAGTCAACCTACCGTGAAGCAACAGTAATCTACCATTTAATTATTGGATGATATCCTAATATTCTGATATGCAGCGTGAAAAACAGTTGAGGGCATCTGTCAAGACAAATCTATGTGTTGCACTGCAGCCAAGGCAGGCCGGGGGATATTTACTCACAGGCAGGCACATAAGGCATACTGGAGAAGTTGACCAGACCTTGCCTTTGTAAACAAATTGTGTGAATTGTAAACACCAACGCCACTGAGGAAGGCAAGAACTGACATATTTCTTTCTTCGCTCTCGTGAGTCCAGACTTGATCCGTGACCTGTAAAATCTACCCTCTCTGCATGGAATGCATGTGACAGGTATCTCTCGTGCTAACTCCCAAAGAAACACCTCATACAGCTAATACATACTATACATTCCTCTGCTGAAAGCAGAGAAAAATCCCAACAGGTCTAAACAGTGATAGTGTAGTAAAGCAGCATGGCTTGCAGAGGCTGGGAAAATCCACAGATGACTGTTGTTACACGATACCTACTTACAGTATAGTACAAGAGTCTGAATTCCCATAGCTCTGACCTAGTTCGTACTGTAATTCAGTAGCTGTACTGTGGTGGTGATGAAATCACAAGGAGGTTATTAAGTTCAAATCACTGTATTACTGTAGACATTATGAAAGGTAAACCCATGAACCCTTTAGGAATCTCATGATCTGATTGAGGGGTTTTTCTCCCAGGGTGAAACCTAGATTTCATGATTCAAGATTATCCAGCATATTGGAGGCCCCAAACAGCGGCCATTTAGAGGTCATACACAATCACAGCTACTACCTATGAATGTGTCACAGACGACCTCAAGCTGAAAGCAGAGATAGGTATTCTCTATGAACTCTGTAACCTCTTAACCCATCCTCCAGACATTTAGCTGATGTATTCATCATCTGCTGCCCATCTCAGAAGCTGCTGCAGTACAGTATGTATGCCCTGGGGAGGGCTGCTACCTCTGAGAGCCTACTGATGATGGTCCGTAAGCAGTGTTCAGGAGGCTCGTTGAAGGAGGGAAGACACTGATGTAGATGCCACAAGGAAGATTACGGAAATGCCACAATACTGTATCTATCTGTCACTTCGGATTTGAATGAAAGAAAACATGGAAACATTCCTTGAATTCTCCAAATGACTCCATTGTAGTCCTTAATTGAGAGTTTATCCTAAGGAATTTCCCATTTGATAAAATGCCTAACTAAAATTAGTAAAGAAATATATTTTAAAAAGACAAGCATAGTAATCTCCAACCTCTGTTGTGAGTAGGAAAGTTGAAGGCTCACTGTCTAGGGACCATATGCTTTCCATGAACCCTAGTTTTTCCTGGACCAGTGCCAGCTACTGTAGCAGCTACTATAGATTGAATAAAGAATTCCTACATCGAACACAGGATCTAAGTGAAAAAGGACAGTAAATCATCTGAGGTTCTTAAACCATTTAATTGGATGAATGTGGTTCCTATCTTTTAATGAATTAACTAATTGCATATACAAGAACTGCTGTCATGTATAGTGCCTTTCACTAGGTCTCAAAGGGCATTGTATGTGATTTACTCACGTTAAATAAAGAAATGATAGAAAATGAATAGAAAGATATCAGCAGACCCTATTGTTTTAGACTGTGGACTGGTAGAGCTGTTCACTATCAACTACACCAAAACGACAGTGGCCATATTAGTGTTGTTGACTTACCCTCAATGTTTCCAGGCTGTTCGTTTGGGCCCTGGTAGTTGAAGAGGGTGTGGGGCTGTCTCCTGGCCAGCTGGTCTCCCTCCTCCCTCGTGACAGGAGCTCTGCTGGTCGGACTGATCTTCTCTGCGGAGAACGAAGACTCCTGGTCAGGTTTACTCTGGGGCGTTCTGGGCTCCTCACGCTGCTCCTCAAGGGGCTCCTCAAGGTGCCTCCCATGACTTTGGGATGAAGGACTGCCATCATGGTGGTGACTGCTGTGGCTGTCTCTTTTTTCGTGGAGGCCAGTGTATCTCACTCCCTTGTCACTACGGACAGTTGGAGTGACGTCCTCCGAACTGTCACTCTTCATCACTCTGTCACTGTCTCTGTGACGCCTGCTGTCCCGGTCAACAACTTCCTGTTGACGCCTTTGACTCTCTGAGGTCACTTCCTGTTTAGTTGTTGATATTGTTGACTCCTCCTGGGCCTTTAAGGTGGTCTGATCTATGTGATGTGGATCCTCAGTAATGGCCGCCTCCTCTGTTCGCTCCTGATCGTATGTTCCTAGTCTCTCTCTCAGCTCCTGCCTCAGGTCATTAAAGATCTCATAAGGAGAAGAGCTTGTCTCAGCATAGGATGGTGACACCGTGGTAGATTCTGTTCGCTTGACCAGGTCTTGTGGAGTAGTAGATGTGGGGTCAGGCAGTGTGTAGTCATAATCCTCATCTTCATCCAGGACGGATGGCTCCTCTTTGTAAAGAGGTAGGATGTTAGCAGGGGCAAATGGGTCTAGTGGGCTTGTCTGTTTGATATCATGCAGTTTGCTGAGGTCTCTCGGAGGGTTGTTGTTCTGTGTGGTCGTTGCTATCATGGGCTTCTTAACGTTACGAGAGTCACAGTCAGGGATAGGAGAACACATCAGGCTCCCGCCATCGTTAGGACAGTGACACACCTGACAAGGGTCCATCTGGAAGGAGTGACCTGCCTCATATTTCTGATTGCCATGGACACAGCCAATGCGCTCACACTGCGGACACCCATCCGCGGGTTCCGCGACAGCAATGCAGTTGGGAGGGATCTCGGGACACGGGATGAAATGGCAGCCGATCCTCCCGCCTCCCTGTAGACAAGAACATTCTGTGCTTCCGAAATCCACAAAGTAAGATTCTCCCTCTGGAACTTTACCATTTTGGAAGCCTGCATGGATGCAGTCATAGTACTGGTAACCTTCACATAAGCATCCTATTTTAACACAGGTGGCACAGCAAGCTCCTTTCTCCAAAACCTCCTCAATGCAGTTGTCCAACACTGGACAATCCACGCTTGTACAGTCCCTTTGGCTTAGACAGGGGCCCAGGCACAACAGGATCACACATTGAAACAGCATCAGTTTCTTTTGGTTCATTTTGCATAAAAGTCCCCCAAGAACAAATGTTGAAAATTGAATTTGTTGATAACTATTGTCCACAGTCCTCTGCAGTCGAACAAGAGTGAGAATGATGTTGAAGGTCCGATTTCAAATGGCCTCCTTTAACCTGTGAGAATGAAAGAGACATAACATGACATTTCTGTTATGTTATGTTATTGTAGTGACAGAACCACAAGGTCATTACCAAGTCGTCTGTTTCTTCTACTTACTTGTTGTTTTTGATTGACTTTTGATTATTATTGGTATTGATATTTGAACTGCTTTGTTGAGGGAGCTGCAGGTAAGCATTTTGCTGCACTGTTTACAGCTGCTGTAACCTGTGTACGTGACAAATAAACTTTTATTTAATTTTATTTGAACTGGGTCCCACTAGTCTGTTTAAACTAGCTAACATTACTGTCATTATGCCTAGACTAAAATTGACCATTGAGCTAATGTATGTTTTTCCATGCCTACTCTCTAGGGCCACAGCACAGCTGTGGATGCATGCTGTGGTTTACATTACATTGGCATGGAAATTTGGCTACAGGTAACGCCGGATAGGGATAGGGGGAAATATGGACAACCCTAGACAAACTGTCCACAGTTAGAAAAGCAAGGCTGAAATAACAAAACCTTCCTTCCAAAACAATACAATACAATTGGAGGCCCACACATAAACAGTTGACAGAGTGCTTGGAGCAGAAGATTGTTTATCAGCAACGATATCAACTTAATTTAATATTGCCTTGTAAAAAGCTTTATAAAGTGAAGTTTCTTTAAGATAAAGAGGGTATTGTTGAGGTACAGTAACAAGTCGACTCTGCGTTTGTTAGGAACACTAACAGATGAAAGTACTCCACCTACTGCACCTGACAGAGCATGAACAACTTCAACAATAATAAAGATAACAGAGAGCTAAGTTAATCCTCTTACACAATACAGTAGTAGGCTTGTAATGTGGTTGATAGTGCCCGATCTCTTCCAAATCAGCAATTTCAAAATGTGGGAAGTGTGCAAGTTCTTGATAAGATGAATTTCTTACACTATTGTACTGAACAATCTTTGCGGTGATCCATATTCAGACTGGTTATTCAGACAATTCTATACTTGTGTGTGGTCCAAGTCAGTGATGTGACTTCAAATCAGAGAACATATTATTGAAAACTAGGTGTTTCCTGTTTTCCTCCACTGCTCGTGTGCTTGGTCCAGTTCTAAGAGACACTGCGACATTTCAAGCAAAGAAATCTGTTTTATGATTCTACGAGTTATTTTCCAAAATACTTTCCTGTTGCAAGTGAAACATTCTGTGTATAAAAATCAATATTCTATCTACTCCTAACATTTTACTCATCTTTAACGCTGAGCTTAACACTCAGTTGAGGAATATTAACAGTGTTAGTTAGACTCAAAAGACACACACATAACGCCCCCTTAGTACTAAGAAACAGCTTGCTGGTGCATAGATTCCAACATATGGTGGAGCAGTTTGGGAAGGCAAAAGTCACGCCGTGTTGACATGGTATATTTTCCTCAATAGACACCCTCCACGCTCATGTGTACATTGGTTGTATGGAGAAACCTGCACTGACACGTCTTTAAACTCTCAGCAGCAACTCATAACCGCACACAGTCCCTCTGTTTTCTATATCAACATATTCTAAAATACTATGCCCCTGCCATATTATGTGCTGATTCCATGACTATGTTTAAATATATTTTAATAAGAATGTTGAGTTTATCAACCTATATAGTGTTATGGACTGTAAGTATACCAAAATGTGCTGCTCTGTGTTGAGGCATCCATTATCTAGGTGCAAATTCCTCCTTAAATGCTGATTATATAGGGGACCATGCACTGGCTTCCCTTCAGTGAGGATTCTATCATCATACACTAACACAACCCCTCAGTGTCAAACTCAACCAAGCACACAGTTAACAGGTTATAGCAGTCACAGCCAAGTGCAGAGGTTTTCAAAATGAAATATTACAATCTCCCCTTCCAAATTCAACGTTTTTTTCAAATTCAAAGCTTTTGAGAGACATCAGACATCCAATAGGGAAGTAAAACGTTGGTTCTGGCAACCTCTCTCACATCTGGGGCTACGTCTCTCTCTTCATCATTGTCACGGTTTCGGCCGAGGCTGCCTCTCTCCCTTGTTCGGGCAGGCTTCGGCGTTCGTCGTCTCCGGAATTCTAGCTGCCACCGATTTATGTTTTCATGTTCGTTTGCTTTTGTCTGTTTGTGTCACACCTGTTTCTGTTTTACGTGATTAGTATCCTATAAGTTTCTCGTTGTGTTTGTCTTGTGTTGTGTGTGATTGTTTTCGTCAGTGTTGTGTTTGCTCGGTTGAGCATAATTCTCTCCACTGCGCTGGAGCTCATTTTGCACTTGTTTCGTGCACTACTATTTTTGTCGCACCTGTTTGTGCGCATTTTGCCTACACGCCTTTGGCGTAGTTTAGCTGTTGGGCTTTGTTGCCCTGTTGCCTGTGTTTGGGTCGGAATACAGCTTTTGGAACCTACCGTCTGCGTCCTGCATCTGATTTCCTACACCACACCTACACACGCCCTGACAGAATCACACACCACCCATGGAATCAGCAGGAGCAGAAGCAGCCCAGACAAGACTGGAGGCCCAGGTTCGGGATCAGCAGGAGCAACTCCTGCAGATGGGGAACGCCCTGCAGGAGGTTATTTCCACACTCCGAGGCTGGGGTTCGCCTCCACCACCGCCCGCCCAGCCAGCACCATCGGTCAGCCCGCCCGTTCCAGCACCGGAACATCGAGGAGTCCGTCTATCTCTCCCGAGGGCTTACGACGGGACAGCGGCTGGGTGTCAGGGGTTCTTGCTCCAGGTCGAGCTGTACCTGGCCACAGTCCATCCGGCACCTTCAGGGCATGAGAGCGTGTCCGCCCTAATCTCCTGCCTGGCCGGTAAAGCGTTGGAGTGGGCCAACGCAGAGTGGAGGAAGATCGACGCCACGACCATCACCTACACCGAGTTCTCCCGCCGCTTTAGGGCGGTGTTCGACCATCCCCCGGAGGGGAAAGCGGCGGGGGAGCGTCTGGTCTTCCTTAGGCAGGGGAGGAGGAGTGCCCAGGAATTCGCACTCGAATTCCGTACTCTAGCGGCAGATGCAGGGTGGAATGATCGGGCCCTCATCGATCTCTACCGATGTAGCCTCAGAGAGGACGTCCGTCGGGAGCTGGCCTGTCGGGACGCCAGTCTCACTTTCGACCAGCTGGTCGACATGTCAATTAGGTTGGATAACCTATTGGCTACCCGCGGACGTCCTGAGGGGGGTCCGTCCATTCCATCCTCCAGCGCACCCGAGCCGTGTCCTATGGAGCTCGGGGGCGCTGGCGCTAGAGGTAGGAGGAGTCGGCAGAGTGGGGGGTCCATCCACTGCACCAACTGTGGTCGGGGAGGACACACCGCGGCTAGGTGCTGGGGATGGCCTCCTCGGGGAGATGACGACAGGTCCCGCACTGGGGATTCCCTCCAGGTGAGTAGGCGCCCCACTCACCCAGAGCTCACTGTTGCCCATTTTTGTATGCCTGTGTGTTTTCCGCAGGTGGCACCTCATTCCCAGTGTAAGGCGCTGGTAGATTCAGGCGCGGCTGGGAATTTCATTGATAAGAAGTTTTGTTTAGAGTTAGGGTTTCCCCTTCTCCCTGTGGAAGTTCCTTTTCCCGTTCACGCCCTAGATAGTCGTCCGTTGGGTACGGGCTTAATCAGGGAGGTCACGGCGCCACTTAGGATGTGTGCGCAGGGGAGTCATCAGGAGATAATACAACTGTTTCTGATTGACTCTCCTGCGTATCCGGTGGTGCTGGGCATGCCCTGGTTAAGTACCCATAACCCCGTTATTTCGTGGCAGGAGAGGGCTCTGAAGGAGTGGTCTGCTCAGTGTGTGGGTAGATGTTTGGGCGTTTCCTTAGGGGCTACCTCGGTGGAAAGTCCAAACCAGGTGCCCGCATTGCACATTCCACCTGAGTATGGGGATCTGGCTATCGCGTTTAGTAAGGCGAGGGCGACGCGATTGCCACCCCATAGGCAGGGGGATTGTGCGATAGACCTTCAGGCAGGAGCTGCGCTCCCACGGAGTCATGTGTATCCTCTGTCTCAGGAGGAGAAGAAAGCTATGGAGGTTTACATAGACGAATCACTGAGACAAGGATACATACGGCCGTCCACTTCCCCCGCGTCCTCGAGTTTCTTTTTCGTGAAGAAGAAGGATGGGGGGTTGCGTCCGTGCATCGACTACCGTGGTCTCAATCAGATTACGGTGAAGTATAGTTATCCACTCCCGCTGATTGCGACCATGACGGAGTCGTTGCATGGGGCGCGTTTCTTCACGAAATTAGATCTCAGGAGCGCGTACAACTTGGTGCGCATCAGGAAGGATGATGAATGGAAAACAGCCTTTAGTACCACCTCGGGCCATTACGAGTATCTCGTCATGCCATACGGGTTGATGAATGCTCCGTCAGTTTTCCAATCATTCGTGGATGAGATCTTCAGGGACATGCAGGGACAGGGAGTGGTGGTGTACATAGATGACATCCTCGTGTACTCACCTACCCGTGTCGAGCATGTGGCCCTGGTGCGCAGAGTGTTGCGGAGGCTGGTGGAGCACGACCTGTATGTGAAGGCAGAGAAGTGTCTGTTTTTCCAGGAGTCGATTTCCTTCTTGGGGTATCAGTTGTCTGCGTCAGGGGTGAAGATGGAGGTAGACCGAGTGTCAGCCGTGAGTAATTGGCAAACACCAACCACTGTGAAAGAGGTGCAGCAGTTTTTGGGGTTTGCGAATTACTACCGGAGGTTTATCCGGGGTTTTGGGCAGGTGGCAGCTCCCATCACGTCTCTCTTAAAGGGGGGCCCGGTGCGTCTGCAGTGGTCAGTCGAGGCGGACAGGGCTTTTAAGAAGCTGAAGGACCTGTTCACCTCGGCTCCGGTGCTGGCGCATCCGGATCCCTCCTTACCATTTCAGGTAGAGGTGGACGCGTCTGAAGCCGGTATTGGCGCCGTGCTGTCCCAACGGTCAGGCGCGCCACCTAAACTCCGCCCCGTTGCCTTCTATTCCAAGAAGCTCAGCCCGGCGGAGCGAAATTATGACGTCGGGGACAGGGAGCTGTTAGCTGTGGTCCAAGCCCTTAAGGTGTGGAGGCACTGGCTTGAGGGGGCTCAACACCCTTTCCTCATTTTGACGGACCACCGTAACCTGGAGTACATCCGGGCAGCGAGGAGGCTGAACCCTCGACAGGCTAGATGGAGTATGTTTTTGACCCGTTTCTCTTTTAAGATCACCTACATCCCTGGGTCACAAAACGGTAAGGCAGATGCACTGTCTCGGCGGTATGACGGGGAGGAGAGGTCCGTGGAGCCCACTCCCATACTGCCGGAGTCGTGTCTAGTGGCACCGGTGGTGTGGGAGCTCGATTCTGAGCTCGAGCGGGCATTACGCACCGACCCTAGTCCACCACAATGCCCGGAGGGTCGGAAGTATGTTCCGCTCGAGTGTCGGGATCGATTGATCTATTGGGCTCACACGTCACCCTCCTCTGGACATCCGGGTATCGGTCGGACAGTGCACTGTCTTAGTGCCAAATATTGGTGGCCTACGTTGGCCAGGGATGTGAGGGTTTATGTTTCCTCCTGCTCGGCGTGCGCCCAGTGTAAGGCGCCTAGACATCTGCCTAGGGGTAAGTTACTACCCCTGCCCGTTCCACAACGACCATGGTCCCACCTCTCGGTGGATTTTATAACTGACCTTCCCCTCTCTCAAGGGAATACTACACTCCTGGTCGTTGTGGATCGGTTCTCTAAGGCCTGTCGTTTGCTCCCCATGCCGGGTCTTCCTACTGCCCTACAAACCGCCGAAGCACTATTCACTCATGTGTTCCGGCACTACGGGGTGCCCGAGGACATTGTGGCTGACCGGGGTCCCCAATTCACCTCCAGAGTCTGGAGAGCTTTTATGGAGCGGTTGGGGGTCTCGGTGAGTCTCACCTCGGGTTACCACCCGGAGAGTAATGGGCAGGTGGAACGCGTAAACCAGGATGTGGGCAGGTTTCTCAGAACATACTGCCGGGACCGGCCGGAGGAGTGGGCGAGATATGTGCCCTGGGCTGAGATGGCACAGAACTCTCTTCGCCACTCCTCCACCCAACTAACCCCTTTTCAGTGTGTTTTAGGGTACCAGCCGGTTCTGGCACCATGGCATGAGAGCCAGATTGAGGCCCCCGCTGTGGATGAGTGGGTGCGGCGCTCGGAGGAGACGTGGGACGCTGCACACGTCCATCTGCAGCGTGCCATACGTCGACAGAAGACGAGCGCCGACCTACACCGCAGTGAGGGGCCTGTGTACGCACCTGGAGATCGAGTCTGGCTCTCTGCCAGAAACCTGCCCCTCCGCCTGCCCTGTCGGAAACTGGGTCGGCGGTTTGTAGGGCCATTTAAAGTCCTGAGAAGGTTGAACGAGGTTTGTTATAGATTACAGTTGCCAGTGGAGTATAAATGTATTAACCCCTCGTTCCATGTGTCCCTTCTCAGGCCGGTGGTAGCAGGCCCGCTCCAAGAACATGAGATCTTGGAGACCCCCCCGCCCCCGTTGGACATCGAGGGGGCACCGGCGTACACCGTGAGATCCATCTTGGATTCTAGACGTCGGAGAGGGGGTCTTCAGTATCTAGTGGAGTGGGAGGGGTACGGTCCGGAGGAGCGGTGCTGGGTGCCGAGGAGAGACATCTTGGACCCGTCGCTCCTGACGGAATTCCATCGGGGGTATCCGACGCGCCCTGCGCCGCGGCCTCCGGGTCGTCCCCAAGGCCGGAGTCGGCGCGCGTCTGGAGCCGCGCGTCAAGGGGGGGGTACTGTCACGGTTTCGGCCGAGGCTGCCTCTCTCCCTTGTTCGGGCAGGCTTCGGCGTTCGTCGTCTCCGGAATTCTAGCTGCCACCGATTTATGTTTTCATGTTCGTTTGCTTTTGTCTGTTTGTGTCACACCTGTTTCTGTTTTACGTGATTAGTATCCTATAAGTTTCTCGTTGTGTTTGTCTTGTGTTGTGTGTGATTGTTTTCGTCAGTGTTGTGTTTGCTCGGTTGAGCATAATTCTCTCCACTGCGCTGGAGCTCATTTTGCACTTGTTTCGTGCACTACTATTTTTGTCGCACCTGTTTGTGCGCATTTTGCCTACACGCCTTTGGCGTAGTTTAGCTGTTGGGCTTTGTTGCCCTGTTGCCTGTGTTTGGGTCGGAATACAGCTTTTGGAACCTACCGTCTGCGTCCTGCATCTGATTTCCTACACCACACCTACACACGCCCTGACAATCATACCAGACCACAGAATGAGAAGGACTGCAGCACAGACTAATGCACCACTTAGCCAATCAATGATGGCTTTGTGTGCAGCGGGTAAGGAATCATTTCAGGTCTCACAGTCTTGACTGGCATGTGCCCCACTGGTTTGGTGTTTTAATGATGTTGAATTCAGCACATGGCATGTGAAGACAACTGGCATGATTGTTCCTATGTCTGCCACATCTGAGAGTGAGATTCAAAAAAGAAATAGAAAGTCTGACTGGGAATATAAAACTGATTGCATAAATATGTGTCACTCACAACCACTATCAGAATCTGTGATAAGAAGCTAAAGTGAATGCTTACCTAGATAATACTCAATTGTTTCAATGAAACAAAGTACATTGTTTGTTTTTCTATCCGTTAACACAATGTCCAAAGCTTCCCAAACAACGGTTGTGGGCTTGGCTTGCTCATCCCACTCTCCACCTTTGTCAACCACAGCTCTTGCCAGGACACAGAAAACATTTAACATGATAATGAACATCAGGAAGTGTTCTCAACAGTACTGTTTGGGGTTAGAGTCTTAGGGTTTTGAAATACTGTATGTTCTGACTGTTGTAAAGATTTAAAGATAGACTGAAGTTATCTTGTAGGCTATCTGGTAGACTTTGCATTAGAATGTCTTGAATGTGATTAAGTCAGTAGCCTGAGGGGTGATAAGGTGCACAAACTCACATAGAGCCAAATCACTTTTAACAAATATTACTGTTGTCATTACACTTTGTCATTACATACAAATTGATATAAGCATTAGACTTCAGGGCTAATTGAAGAGAATACTCCATAATTTGATATTGGAAACATGATTTAAACACATTTTCTCTGTGTTTTAACAAATAAGTGTGAAATAGGCGTAATTGTATAGATTATTAAAAAGCTGACATCTTATTTGGAGAATGGAACAAAAATATAGCCTGACAAAGCTTTTTAAGTTAGTGACATGCTGTCATGCCAAGCCATACACACAACTGATGGGTAGAAATGGGGGAAAACACCATACGTTTTACATGTTTTACATCATGGAAAGAATCTCAAGCAGTCTCTTATATAAGGTTAGCACATAAACACATTTTCACAGAGAAGTGTACAAAGGCAGTGATTGAAAAGTTTACATTTACCTTGCGTCTCAGTTCTGTCAGTGTGCGACGGATAGACTTTCCTGTATTATCTGCTGGCCAGTGGTTGTCCCCAAAGTTAGTTGAGCGCGTTCTAAAGAAAAGGGGGATGTGCACGCGCTCTCTGCGAAGGGAGAGAGGAGAGGGCGGAACAAAAACTTTCTTTGCCCTCCTAATACTTTGGCAAATTAGAGGTCTGGAATAATTTCGCGCCTCTATTTCATTACGCTACTGATTCACGTTTGAACGAATTCCAATCCCCTACTCTGTGCATCTCGTTGGTCTTTTACTTTACTGAAATAGGCTGGTTGCTGTCACATTCCAATATTAGCCATTGCACTTGTGTTTACTGACGAATGAAGTCATTTTCCCTAGCGCAATTTATATTGTAATTATTGAGACATTTTTGTGTAGCTATTGTAATTCCAGCTGAATCACCCAAAAGTAGATTGTGCAGCTCCAGAACAACTATCATGCCCATATTATGCCCATTTGATTACCTTGAAAAGGATAAAGGATAGGCTAAAAAGGCTACAAGTCACACACAATATTCAAACTCTCCTGCAAATCTTCTCACTCAATAAGAAAATATCACATGATCCATGCGGCGTTTCATGTTTTAGGCCCAGGGATGAAGATAGCCTACATCTGTGAGTAACTGTTTAAAGACAATCAGGTACTGTAATTCAATGGAGTGGGTTAGCTGCTCTCCAGCTAAAAGACATACACGTGACTGAAGCGTTGATTAGATTTTTCCCAATCTTTGTCTCCCTGAGAGGACAGCCTGGTCTCATAGACTAGACCTTTTTATTTTTTTATTTCACCTTTATTTAACCAGGTAAGCCAGTTGAGAACAGGTTCTCATTTACAACTGCGACCTAGCCAAGATAAAGCATAGTAGTGCAATAACAAAAAAAAAAAAAAAAAACAACAACACAGAGTTACATATGGGGTAAAAAAACATAAAGTCAGAAATACAACAGAAAATATATATACAGTGTGTGCAAATGTAGCAAGTTATGGAGGTAAGGCAGTAAATAGGCTATAGTGCAGAATAATTACAATAGTATTAACACTGGAATGCTAGATGTGCAAGAGATTATGACCTAATAGTAAACATAAATCCGGGATACTCAAAATAGTATATATGTTAGGCTTGGTATGGTTACATATAAGACAGAAGGTTACTTAAAGGGATACTTCAATATTTTGGCAAAAAAAACCTTTATCTACTTCCCCAGTGTGAGATGAACTTGTGGATATCCTTTTTATGTATCTGTGTGCAGTTTGAAGGAAGTTGCTAACTAGCGTTAGCGTACTTGCTGCATGCTAGGAGATACCATATACTTCCAGTCATTGCGCTAATGCTAGTTAGCATTAGCTCGCTAACACTACCTCTAACTTCCTTCATACTTGATGCAGAGATATAAAAATGGTATTCATGAATTCATCTCACTCTAGGGAAGTATATAAAAGGCTTCATTGCCAAAATCCAGAAGTTTCCCTTTAAGGCAAAAACTAAAGTAGGGTGGTTGGTCGGGTTGGATGGGTAGGTGTATAACGCGAACGTCTAGCAGCCCAAAGGTTGTGCGTTCAAATATCATCATGGACAACTTTAGCATTTTAGCTATTTAGCAACTTTGCAACTACTTTCTACTTTTTAGCTACTCTGCAACTACTTAGCATGTTACCTAACCCTTCTCCTAACCCTAACCCTAACCTTAACCCTTTAACCTAACTTCTAACCCTAACCTTAACCCCTAACCTTAACCCCTAGCCTAGCTAACATTAGCCACCTAGCTAACATTAGAATTAGCCACCTGGCCACCTAGCTAACGTTAGTCTAAACAAATTCGAATTTGAATTGGAAACATATCATACTGATTGGAGTGTCCCGGATTTACTTTTACTATGTTACGTCTACCCCTGAGTCTAGGTTGCAGCAGAGAAGATGCTCCTGTGATGTGGACTAACCTCTGAAATAACCCTCAAGTAGAGGTCAGCAACCACCAACTCCATCACTGTCTGACACACACACGTGCCTCGAGCCAATCTGTTTTATCTTATTTAGGGGTCATGGGGGCCATCAGTGAGAATGATCCTAGAGACAAAAGTCCCCTCAGTGAATGGATAGATTGATCAGACAAACACAAGGGGATTTATGGTGCCATTGGTGGCTTTGTTTTAGGGACACCCCCACAACAAATTAATGACATGGATGAGTCAATGGTCCCAGCGTTTGTTTTTGGGTGCACATTGTTGTAAAGGGAGAACAATATGGAGATCACATGTCTTCCTCTGGACTATTGATCTGATGTAGTAGAGAAAGGGAAAGGGTGTACCTAGTCAGTTGCACCTCTGAAATGTGTCTTCTTCATTTAACCCAACCCCTCTGAATCAGAGAGGTGCTGCCTTAATCGACGTTATCGGCACAGTTGTTGGGGGGGTTAACTGCCTTGTTCCACCTTGCCGGCTTGGGGATTAAAACAAGCAACCTTTCGGTTACTGTCCCAACGCTCTAACCGCTAGGCTACCTGCCACAAATATAGTATAGTGATAGTACTAGTATAGTACAGAAAATCTCAGCAGTTTGCCCTTGTATAGAGACACAATGAAGATGGCAAGCTTTTTCATTTTCAGAAATCACCTAACTCAGGCTTCACTGGTTTAACCTCCACGGGATCGGTGCTATCCTGTAACTGGGTAAAACATTTGCCCCATAGTCTATCTTGCCAGCATCCATTGATGTTGTCCAGTGCAGGTCAAGTCCATCCACCCACATTGTGTCCACTTGTATTGTGACTGACTACATACCATTGTCGTGACCGCCCAGGGAACAAACACAGTGATTTTCTTCTGGTCCAGAGCTCAGAGCTGGACTGTGATCTCAGCCTGGGCTGTGCCTGGCAGCCAGGCCGTCTCTGGTGTTTTAATGACCTGAGCCCATGAGCTAACTGGCTGTGGAGCTCACTAATGCCGGGGGGAGCCTGCATGGTGTCACTCTGCTCCTTGCTCCAGACCCTGGCCGCAATTAAAACCAACACCAAATGCCTCTCAAATACCCTGCTATTCCCCAAATAGTGTACTACTTTTGACCAGGGCCCCAAATGTGGCTATGGTCAATAGCAGTGCACTACTATATGGAGAATAGAGTCCGTTGTGACTTGAGACACAAAGGGAGGGATTTGAGAAGTAGGAACTGTTTAGCCTCATAATGACACAAATGAAAAGGCACACCAGGGGAGGAAATGTAGTTTTAAGTCTGCTTTTGCTCTGGAGTCGTGGTACATTCAATACAGATTATATAACACAAGACCACCTACTATTTGTGTAATGAAGTCTAACTGGACTTTTGTATTGCGAACAGACTTAAAGCAATATGTAGCCCAACCCCCTAAAGACTTCATGCTCCTTCTCCATACTTCATCAGGCAAATTACCTTTACCGGGGTGGATCCCAAAATAAATGTGTCAAGTGATAAAAACGAATTAAGTTAGTTGTGCAATACATTTTATAGATAAAAGGATAAGAAGCACATCGTTTTTAAATGTGTGCATGCTTTTCTCCTCCGACAATACAACAGTTGATTCAAAGGGGTGTGGCAGATATCAAAACTCTCCCGAGGTAGGATACACTTGTGCTTTCTCGCTAAATGGAGGCTATTGAGAAGGGGAGGACCGTCTTCCATTTGCCTACTAACGAATTGACACACTCCTCGACGCCGAGGACGGAGGAGAGCGGACAGAGGATGGACTTTTCTCCAAACAAATGTCTTTGTTGTAAATGTTTTGGTGCCAAACTGGTGGCAGTTGTGAAAAAAGTCACTAGTTGAAAGAGTTGCAGAGTTAATTGAAAATAATGCCATTGTTAATTAGATGCTTTTTAAATTAATTAAGCTATTTTCTCTTGAACCATATGGTCTATCCAGTAGAAACTAATGGACAAAATGGACACAGATATACAAAATGTATATTATATATGAAAACATTTTTTAAACGTTATATGAGTATAAATAACTAAAGTTACCATAGATTGATTCCGGACATTTAACCAAATCCTCAAAATAACCTTGACATCCTTCAGATTTATCTAAGCAAGTTTGCGACCTTTGACACATGTTACTTGTGAAAGACGTCATAATTTAACAGGTTGTGGCAAGAGAGGCAGGCTGCTCCACTGTAGTTGACCATTGAGTGCTCGTCTGAGGCTCCCAGTGGGCGACCTGGCTGCCGTAAAGTCTCTCAGCGCAGGGTAACCTGATCTGACACAAGGCTGATTCGGGAAAGGTAATTGCACCCCGCTCTGTTGTTATTACCCAGTCATGCATGTCTGAATGGTGACTTCTGCCAATACTAATTCACCCACCCTACCGCCTTCAGTCCCTGCCTCTTAATAATCCACCTAATTGGGCCAGTTTACTCAGGGATCCCTCCGGAAACTCTCCAGCGCTTTCCACCATTACACATTTCTCAAAGAACTTTGGGAGGGGTTTATCACCTGTTTATAACAACTTTCTTCTGACCAGAGTTAGGTCATTCTCACCATGTACAGGGCAGAGCTGGGCTGGGTTGTGTAGTATCTGTATATTTACATTATTTTAATTGAAGTAGACATCATTGACTGTGACATCATTGTCTGCTAGGGGCCCCCTGAGTGCAGCAGGTGTTAATGTTATCTGCCCATTGCGAGACACAATGTGCTGACCTCCCATCTCTGTTTGAACAGGTGGAGAGGGGATCCCCAGCTGCAAGTCCACAATAGTCACATATACTGTCCGGTTGTAAGATGTCTATTGCCTCATCCTTTTAGTGTTGTCTATTATCACCTGACTGTATAGCTAATGCCACTAGGCCCTATTGAGTGTGCAGAATCTGACTCATGCATACACAGTGTTTACACTGTACTATTTTTGAAAAACACCCATGAAACAGTACAAATCATGAATATTAACATAAGTAAATGAGATAGGTACATCAAAATCCTAATACTAGTGGGCAATTTAGGCAGCCACATTGCCACACACAGCTGTAGGCTATTGGTCAATAAAAATGTTAGAGTCCCTCGATCTGTTCTAACAGCCAGCCCTCCTGCCTATCAGAGAGAGAGCAGGTCTGTAGGTC